TCTCTCGTGTGTGTGTGTGTGTGTGTGTGTGTGTGTGTGTGTGTGTGTGTGTGTTAGGGGATAGGGGGAGTGCTTTCATCTTCCTGGAAAGGGTGACTTCGTGGTGCGGTGTTCCCTCCTAGTCCTGGGACAGTCCCACCCAGCACTCCCACAGCACCCTCTGGCCAGGTGGGGAGCCGCGCCCATGGACTGCACCCCTAGTAGGGCACCGCAGGGAACGGGCCACGCGAGCCCTCCGGTCTGAGACTGGGTTCTAGCCTCGGTGATCAGGCCACTCACGTCGCCGCCTCGCGCTCCGGTTTGCTCTTCCGTAGAATGGGACCGCGAGTCCCCTCCGGGGAGGGCAGCACCGGGCTGGGATAGCAGCTGGGCTGGACCGGGGACCCACCGAGCCACACACGGCCCGCGGCGGGGGGCCGGCAGCTAGGGGCCGGGGGCTGGCAGCTGGGGGAGGGTACGGGCGGAGTCACCTCCGCCGGCGCCCCCGAGCTCCTCACCTCCGACTCGCGCCGCTGGTTCCGGAAACCCTCTTGGCCCTTGGGCGCAGCCTGCTTCCCTTTGCCGCCGTTGCCGTTGGCCGGCGGGCTCCCGGCCCCGGCCGCCGTGGGCTCCTCCATGCTGTCCCGCTCCGCGCCCGCCGGGCTCTGCCGGAGATCCCGCTGCCGCCCCGCCGCCCAGTGCCGCGCGCCGGCCCCGCCCCTCTGCCGCGATTGGCCATGGACGTTCCCCGATGCCCCGCCCCGCGACGCGATTGGCCACCCGGCCGCACGGAGCGGGCCTGGAGGAGGGGGTGTTCATTCAAGGCACACTGCAGCGTCGCGGTAGCCTCCCGGACCGGCTCTCCCCTCCCACCTCCGAGCTCGGGCGGGTTACTGCTCCGCTCCGCGCTCCCTTTTCGGGGTTCTAGCCTCCGCCTCCAGCTCCACTGCAGTTCGCTTTCCCGTCACCACAGACCCCTGCCCCCAACTCCTGGCTCCTGCGCGTGTCCCGGATCGCGCTGCAGTCCCTGGGGCGGCCGAGGACCCCGCAGGGACACCTTGCAGCCCACTCCTGAAAGCTCACAGTTTTAAAGGGAACGCTCCAGTGGCCTCCGCTGGAGTGAGGCAGGGGCTGCAGGGTGGGAAGGCGTTTCCGTTCAAGCCGATGCCGGCTGCCCCTAACTATCCACCTGCCTTTCCTTGCAGTTTGGGGCGCCTTTGTCACCGGATGCGCTCGGGAGTGCCCCCGCCGACTCCCCAGGCTTCCCTCCCTCTCCCCAAGAGCCCCGAGTTACCGGGAAAATGGGGGGTCGCAAAGCAGGCAGTATGGTCTGCTCTCTCCCTAATTTACCCCGAAGTAGGTTAAAATGAGTATTTAGAGCATCCTAGACTGCTCATAGAAGCCTTTCCAATAAGCCCCCAGCAAGTCCACCGCCAGAAAGGGGGGTGGGGTAGGGGTGCGGGTAGCTGAGGCAGCACTCTGCCAGGCACCGCACTAGGCTCCCTGTCTCCGCTAACTTTACTGAGCAGAAGCCAAGACTCACACACGCAGTTCCTCCTCGCAATTCCCCGGGTATCACGCGTGATCCTGCCCCAGTGGCTTTGAGAACCAGCTCTGTAGGAAGGCTTCTTCTCCCCAAGGGGCTCCTTCCTTAAAGATGCCATTTGGGCCTCACCTCTTGCTCCAGGAGGAGGACCCTCCCCAGCCCACTCAGGCTGCCTTGGTGTCAAGCAGTGTCTTGCCTGGATGGGAAACCCCAATTTCCCCCCAGGGCCCAAAGGAATCCCTGTCTTACTGGTAAATCATGTAGGCTTTAGTTTCTTGTTTTGTTTGTATCCAACCCTCGGGTTAGTTTATGTGCGATGATTTTGGGGGTGTGACATACATGGAAAAATGCAGTGCTCATGTCATGTCTTGAGGATGATTCTGTCCCGTTCCCAACAATCTCTCTCTCCCACTCTTCCCTCTGCTAGTCTGTCTATAGGTGGTAGCTCAAGGTAGGGTTGCAAGGGGCATTTCTTGCAACTGTTTGGGTTTTATTTCTCTGCTCCCCAACATCCCCTTTCTGCACCCACCCACTTTCTTTTCACATCCCGCCCCTCTATCATCCCACCCCCACAAACAGGGATATATAAACTCCTTGAGTGTAAGGCCAAGTCTTGCTCATTTTTGTATGCCTCATTTACACTTGTTTAGCACATGGTTTCTCAACTGCTGTCCCATTAGCATTTGGGTCGAGATTATCCTTTGTTGTGGGGGCTGCACTGTACATTGCAGCCTTGTTAGCAACATTCCTGGCTTCAGCAATACCCTCCCTCTGTGTGACAATCAGAAATGTCTCCAGACATTGACATGTGTTCCCTAGGGGCCCAGCTCTTCCCAGTAGCTACCCACTGGTTGAGTAGAATATAGAATTGGGTTTGACTCCTGCCCCCTCTCCCTCCTCACCCCCCAGAAAAAGGCCTTAGCTTAAGCCCGAAGCAATTTGATTTTGGGAATTTTTGTGTGTGGGGGGTATCATTTGTTAAACTCTTAGAGATTCACGCTCCACTTTAAAATTCACAACCCACGCCTAGCTCATCCCTGCTTCAGAGTGGTAAACCTGTCACTGCACAGCCCGTGGGGGCTCTTTAGTACAAGACATTGCTTCTCCCTCTCATTTCCCCAGTACTTCTCTTCCTAGCAGCCAGCTAGGCCTGGCAGGCCCAGGACTTCACCTTCTTGGTGTGAGCCTTGTCCCGCCAGCAGACTCTCCAAGAGAGACAGCAGACAGGAGGGGCCCACTTGGAAAAGCTGTTCCTTTTCCTGCCTCCCTTGCAGATACAGCAGGAAAGGTCATCCTCAACTGGGAGAGGGATTGAGGATCCTTGCAAGGCCCCTGCCCGTGGCTGCACCCAGAGCTCCATCTGCTCCGGGGTTTTTGGTGAAGAGATGCTATCGAGTGGTGCTATCAAGCTTGCAGACTCAACAGAGACCTCACTCCAAGATCTTTTCCACGCCCTCTGGCTACCCACCTCCTGCCTCCCCCCACCACCCCCCAGGGGACTGGGAGGCAGTAAAGGTCAGACTGCTGACTTTCAGAGCTTGTCACAAGGTGGAAGGCACCTGGAGATGCAACAAAAAAGCACACATTCAGTGAAAATGTCCAGTCTATAGGAGCCCTGGTGGCATAGTGGTTACTCACTGGGTTGCAAGTCGCAAGGTCCACAGTTCGAACCCACCAGCTGCTCCTTGGGAGAAAGGCAGGGCTTTCCATTCCCATGAACAGTTACAGTCTTGGAAGCTCACAGGGGCAGTTCTACCCTGTCCTACAGGGTTGCTGTGAGTCGACAAGAATTGGATCGATGTCAGTGAATTATAGCAACTCTGATGGTTGTAGTGGCTATGCACAGGGCTGCTAACTACAAGGTCAGCAGTTTGAAACCATCTGTCAGGTCCAAGGGGATGAAGCTTCAGTTCTACCATGTCCTATAGGGTCATTAGAAATTGGCATCTACTCGATGGCAATATAGTTCTTTGTTTTGTGTGATAATTATTGGGATTGGTACCCCCCTCCCCATCTTTCAGCTTATTTGCCAAGAAAGGAGCGACAGTACCCATAAATATGAGCCCTGGGGTGCGTGGCTAAGTGCTTCGGGAAGGTAGTGACTTGAACCATTTGTCAACAATGCTGTAGAGAAAGAGGGAGTGGTCTGCTTCTGTCCAGAAATACAACCTTGGACCCTCGGGGACAGTTTTACTCTGTCCTACAGGGAGGGTGGTCAAGTCCATTGACTGCACAGCAGTGCATGGGGCTTTTCTGTTTGGGGCCTGCATGACCAATTTCCCTGGCCCCCTCAATTGAATCCTTCTGAGTCTGCTGACAGGGGGTAATTAACCGATGTCCTTACAAGGCTCAAACACATCCCTACCCCTCTAACCGGCAAAGGTCAGGGACCTGGTGAAGCAGACAGCACCTGGCCTGAGAAAACTTAAGGATGAGGGACAAGAGATCTTAAAGGCCCAGGTTTGGGAGGATAATGTAGCAGCAAAGGCAGAAAGGGCATGGGTAGGTGTCATGAGGCCAGTGGTAGGGCCCTGGATCAAGGTGAGGAAGAGCTGTCAGGCTCTGCAGATGGCATTTGTAATACCTCAGGTCATTCAATCCTAACTCTGGGGCAGTGGTTCTCAACCTTCCTAATGTCGCCACCCCTTCATACAGTTCCTCACGTTGTGGTGACCCCCCCCCCCATAACATTATGTTCGTTGCTACTTCATCCCTGTAATTTTGCTACTGTGATGAATTGGGCGACCCCTGTGAAAGGGTCGTTCGACCTCCAAAGGGGTCGTGACCTACAAGTTGAGAACCGCTGTTCTAGGCGATGCCTGTGCCTGGAAGAGGACATCGTGGGTGGAGAATCGGTGAGAAGGACCATCTAGGAGATGGATTGGCACAGTGCCTGCGACAAGGGGCTCAGAATACCGATTATGAGGACAGCGCAGGACCAGGCTGGCCGGGTTTCATTTTGTAGTTGGAATTTCCATGAGGGCACCGAACGACGACTAAATGTATCGGTGCCATCCAATTTGCAGGCAAGAAAAACATGGCTCTGAATGGTCACACCACTTCAAGCTCAAACTCCAAACGTCTCACCATACCTTGTGGAAGGGAGACTTGCTCAGCAGTGGGCAGCCTGGGCTGACCCGTGAGTCTGAAACTAAGATGGGGGGGCGGGGGTTGTCCAAGGGGCCAGACTTCACAGAGGCCAACCTCTGTGGCTGGGGAGCAAGTCGCGGCTCTTGCTGCGTCCTCCTCCTCCCCACTGCAGTGGCCCTGGCTCTGAGCCCTTCCCTGGGCCCAGGCTTCTCTAGCCCCCAGGCACTTAGCTTCAGTGCACGGGAAGCAAAGTGGCAGAGCATTCTGATGGCATGGGAGGGAAGGGAAGGTGGTATGGTATGTATTTTGTAACCCATGTTGGTCCCACAACCTGTAGAACCAGTTTAGGTCACTGAAGAAAGAAGGTAGCTGAGAAGGAACAGAGTAACCACTCCCCCCACCCCCACCCCCCTGTAGGGTTCTGGTGGCGTTAGGCAACCTAATTCTCCCTCCCTCAGGGTTTCACATTGTGGGGTCTTGTCCATGCTAGGGGGATGCTAGCTCCTGTGCTGTGACTTAAGGTGGTACACATGGGACTTGGAGCAGGCGTTAGTGCAGCTGTCCTAAACGTGTCCAGGATGGTGGCTCTGGGAAGGCAGGCTCTTCATACACAGCCGTTGATCAGTGTAGGGCAGCTCTGCCCCACCTGTCTACTGGGAAGGGCTTCCCATCCGGCCCCCCATCCGGCCTCTAGCCTGCAGACCGCTCTCATCTCTGCCCAGTTGCTAGTTCATAGACACCAGGAATTCATTTTAGGAATATGTTATGCACTGGAGACAAAGAATTCATTTTAGGAACATTTTATTGTCTTTTGAGATTACATGGTCATTATTGCTGATCTAATACAATCACTCAGACATATAGATTTCCAGAACCTCTCGGTGAAGGCAATGCTCAGAGGTCTGGGTGCTAAGATGATCACGAGAACTAGATGATTACTTTTTTTGGATATATATAATATATATGTATATATAGTTCAGAACTTGTCCATATATAATTTGCTGGTGTTGCCTATTTTCGTTCTGTAATTTTCCTTTGTTAAAAAAAGCATAATGCAACAATGCATTTTGATTTCTTTTTTAAAACCGTGACAAAGTGGATTTGAGAAAACCACAGGGGCAGCAGTTTCAGATCTGTTCAGAGAAAAGTCAAGCAGCAAAAAAGCTTTGCAGGAAAAAGTGAGGCCACGGGCAGCCAGGCTTCAAGGGGCGTGGGGGTGGGGGGTGGGGGGCGGTGGCAGGGAAGTGGGAAGGCAGGAGGTGGTCAGATCAGAGGCCTGGGAAAATAAACTGAACGTGTCTATGAAGAGGGTGACAAACCAACCAGCCAACCTGAAGAGTAGCTCTAATTCATTGGAGAGAACATGGTAGGGATTCCCTCTCCAAGCTTCCAGATACCAGCAGGTATCAATGGCTGATGAAACTGGGTCCCCAGAGAGAAAGAGAGACAGAGAGAGACAGAGAGAGAGAGACAGAGCGAGTGAGAGAGAGGGGTATCACCTGAAACTCGGAGGCAAGCACCTCACCATTTGCAGCAACTCCCCAGCTAACCCGAAGCTGCGGAGGGAGGCTCTGTTTGTTCACAGGAGCATGATGCCCTCAGCAAGCTCACACCTGGAGCCCAGAGAGCACTGGGCAGGTGCAATGAGCAACAGCAGGCTGTAGCTTCCGGCATGAGAACAAAGGAGACCAGAGGCCAGAGACCTGTCTGTGGGAATCTGCCCTGGATACAAGAGGAGGTGCAGAAGATCGGACTCTCTCTATAGTCCAAGCAGCCAATGAACTCAGGACAATCAGGAGGGAGGGAGTGGCCTGGGGGAGCTTTCAGCAATTGTGGTCTTCCTTGCAGGGCAGGAGCTGCAGATGGGTGGGGGGCATTTTCCGAATACTTTCTCAGACACATGGCCCCCGAAGAGCCAGTCTTTGTGGGATGAACCTGTCTACTATTTCAAGAGACAGACAGCCATCTAGCCAAGTGTCACCTCTCTACTGCCAAAAGTAAGGTCACTTCCAGACCAACCCTGAGGGGACCCAGGAAGACCAGGGAGCACAGGAGAGGGTGGACCCAGGAGGAGAACCAGAGTGGAAGGTCACAGTGACCCTGGCTGTCCTGGCTGTCTTAAGACTTTGAGGCAGCCCAGGATGGGGAACAAGTGGGGAAACAATCCTGAGAGTTTCAATATGGTAGAGTGTGTGTGTGTGTGCGTGTGTGTGTGTGTTGGGGGGGAGTTGAGTGGGAAGGTGGGGACTTATCTACTTCAAAATCCCTAGGGACACCCAGGCTTTAACTCGTAGAACTGGCCGTGTTTCACTGCGGTCTCCAAAAGCAGTCCTGCTCCCGGGTGGGCGGTCATACCAATCCCACCCACTCTGCTTCCTCCTACAGGGGAAGCTGCTCCAGAAACTGACACACAGGACCCTTAGCGGAGAGGCCAAAACATAGACAGATACCGCAGCAGAGTCCAAAGAACACAGACCAGGTCGCAGAGGCCATTAGCTCTTGGCCACGGCCAGAGGTGGCAGCTGTCTGATGAGGTTCAAACCAGCTCCGATCATCTGGACAGAGTACGGGCCGTGTGTAGAGCTTAGCCCGCACGAAAGCTGCCCTGCAATTCCCGGGGGACAGACAGACCCTGCTTCTTTAGGAACCAGGTTTGTCACACCACGGGCCTGAGTGACGTCCCATTTCGGAAGCTCTCACTCTTTAAGTCCCCTGGAAGGTCTGCTTTTCTCTACTCCTTACAGAATTTTCAGAAGTTGCTTAGGAAGTAGCAGAGAGTCCTAGGAAGCCATGTTTTTTGTTTTTTCAAAACAAGCTCTCTTTTTTAGAGAGGGAACCAATTTGGAGGGCCCTTCCTGGGGCAATCTCCAGGTAAATGACAGGGAAATAAAACTATGGGTCCCAGGGGAATGGCCCCCACTTCCTGAGTGGAGTGGGGTTGGGATAAAAGGCAGCGAAACAGTAGAGCGGCTGAGGAGACAGTGGAGGCACACTCCAGGACAGACACAAGTGCTCAGGAGAAGCGGGAGTCCTGGCTAAGGAAGGAGGCCTCTCTGAGGCACAGGCACAGCGGAGCTCTGGTTGCAGCTTGCCAAAGCCGTAGCACTCCTTCCTAGCAGCCGTTTCAGAAAGAAGGCAGTGATCGTAGAGGGATGGTCAAGGCTGGCCGCCCAGGCCATGGTCTTTCAGTGGCTTCTCCCAGGCCTCCCCTGGGGAGGGGCCGGAGCTGAGCAAGGCAGCTGCTGAAAATGTGTTCCAGCAGACCCAGGGAACAAGGAATCGGGAAGGCCTGGACTAATCCCTGATCCTGGACAAGAGAGAATGCCATCGGCTGAGATTTCAGATCAATGGGGTTTGAGGCAAAGATGCATTGGGAATGGTTACCCCATTTTCCTCCTTCCTCAGCCTGTCCTCTGTGGCTCGCTCAGCCCGTGGGGCAGTAACCACACTCTGGGCCAAGGCGACAGGCACAGGATTCTAGATTTTAATAAATAAATAACCTAACATATGGTCTACAAGGTGAGCGTGGCGGGCAGCTCGGATGGGAGAAGCAGCTTGCTGGATTATTTCCTGTATAGTAGTGAAGCAAAGACTTGGAGTTCTATTCCTTAAACCTTCTTCTGGCTTCAGTTACAGGAACTTAATACCTGGATGGAAAAAGAAAGATGAGACTGAGATGCTATCTGGTTGTGGGAGGCCAGGACGTGAAGAGCCGGGGCTTTCCTGGAGGGCACATGGTAGGGGTAGATACTGGTGGCTCTCGTTCACCTGAGTGAAAAAGACCAGCATTTCTCCATCCATTACATGAGAAGACTCATAGCAAGAAGGTGAAATGGAGAAAGGCAATTCAGAAACATGATGTTAAATGGCCTCAGAGAGTGCTCAGGAATCGTGGTACAGGGGTGAGGCCCCTGTTCTGGGTTCATGTGAATGGGCAGAGACAAAGTTCTAGAGCAAGAAGTTCTTCACACCCACCCTCCCAGACTCCCTCCCTGTTTTACATGGGGAGGGCCCAGGGCACCTGTAGTAATTAGGCTTGAAGGGCCCGTTCTTGTTAAGACCCAGATACTTGGCCTGCTCATCCGTCAGCTCTGTCAGGTGGGCATCAAAGGTGGGCAGGTGCAGGCTCGCCACGTACTCATCTGGAACAGACCACAAACCCCCTGCTTTAAGCCCACAGGCCTCCTGGCTGCTGGCTGCCCGTCGCAGGCTTTAGGCTTGGGGAGGCACACTTCCGACTCCCAGGGCGGAATGGAAAACGCTCAACGTTGGCTCATGGGTCCTCAGGCCTCAGGCAGAGTCGCCTTTAGCGTCAGGCCCAGTGCTTGTCAAAGCTGTCCCGTTTCTACCACACCCGTGGTTTCAGAGGGCGGAGGGACACTCAAAGAAGCCGGAGGTGTTGTGACGGGCAGGGTGGGGCCTAGAGAAGGGGAAGCTCGGGGGGACTTGACTTCTGTCTTGAACCCTCTGTTCGGTGGGTCACTCAGGACGCCTCCATCTTTCTCCAATGGAGCGGTGGCTAAGTTCGAACCGCTCGCTGATCTGCTCGCTGTCCAGCACGTCTCCACTGTGCCACAGAGCTCCTTCAACACAGGCTCCTGATTCATGCGTTTATATCATTTTCCCCGCTTGTCTGGTCTCCTACCAACTTTATCATGCATTCGGCCAGAATATGGACGGTTTGGGTTTTTCCTTTTTGCTGTCCTTGTATCAAGCAAAATAGACCCCGAGGGGATTTATTCCCTTGAGAGTTTAAACATACAAGATCAATTCAGGTGTGCGAGGCAGGTGCTTAAAAAATTTAAGACAATTTACTGTTTCCTTTGTAACGGACTGCTTCAGGACAGAAGCTCTTCAGCCTCTCCTTGGGCCTGAAGCAACAAGCCGGGGTTAGAAGTTGGGACATGAGAGTCTTGCTGGGCCTGAGATGTTACCCTCTCACTAGTGTGGAGTCAATGCCGACTCAGGGCACCTCCAAGGACAGGGTAGGACTGCCCACGCAGGTGTCTGAGACACACTGTCTACGAGCAGACAGCCTCGCCGTTCTCCCTGCGCAGTTCGTGGGGCTGTTAGCAGCTTAGCACCGACCAGTCAGCCGATGTCACAAGGGTCTCCTCGTCCTGGGGAAGCAGCTTCCTCCTTCAAGACTCTTGCATACAAGATACGTAAAGAGAGACAATGCTTCAGATGCAAAGGCTGTTCCACGGAATTGTGACAAACCACCATCTCAAGGGCGTTCCATGGAGAAACGGGGTGGGGGTGGGGGCAGCTCACAGGAGTGGGACCTAGTCTTTACTCTGACTTTGGAAAGACGAAGACATCCCCTCCCCCCTTGACTCCGTAAGGAATGGAGGTCTTTGGGCTTTTGCGTCTGTTCTCCTTGGCGACACTGGGGCAGAAATACATGCTCACCCATTTTCTTGGGCAACAGGTAGACATCCTGCTTATAGCGACCCTCGGGGGCATTGTAGAGTTCAATCAGGGCCAGGGCCTGGAAAAGCAAAGCGAGATGGATGCAGACAATGTAGCCCAAGGGTGGGGTGGCACCTGCCAGGTCCACCGCTCCCCCAGCCTGGAGCTCACCTGCGTGGTAGCTGTGATGGACAGCACGAAGGTAGGCACGGTGGAGCAGCTCAGGTTCAGCAGCCGGCCCTGGAGCAAGGGTTCACAGAGAAATGAGTCGGGCAGCGGGCTCTGCAGGGATAGGGGCCAAGCCCACTGCCCCTCTCCAGCCACTCCCCATCAGCCCTGCCGGGCAAAAGCGGGTGTGCAAGAAACAGGAATTCACCGAGTGGCATGAACTGAAACCATAAACACTTCTGGAATGTGCTGTTCACAGCCTCCAGAAGGCCCAGCTCCAGTGTGGGTCTGCAAGGGGCGGTCTCTGCGGGTCCCCCAGAGAACGCTGTAATGGTTCCATTTGGTTTTCCTGAACCCCAGCGGTCTCATATTCTGAATGGGTCCTCCAGGGAGTAGAAGAGCTGGAAACCTCCCCCAACGCCACCCTCTCCTACTCTGTTTATCAAGAGACTTGATGGCTGTTTTTGTGCATGGACAGTCGCCAAGAACAGCTGTGGTGCTTGCTCTTTGGTCACTAAGATTACCAGTTGCAACCTCTTGGGGCAATTAGAAAAGTCACCAGGTTGCAGGCTGCTATCAAAGTGATCAATGCATACTGAGCAACCTGCTCAAGCCTCTTCACACACACTCCTGAAAAAAAACTCAGTCCCTCAAGTATTTAAGGTGCCCGAAAGTATTGGAGGCGAGGAAAAGGGGAAGAGAAATGATACTTAAACAAGAATTTATGGGCTTCCAGGAAAAGATGGTTATCTTTTACCCGTTCATGTTCAGTTCCTTTGATTGAAAACTGACTGAAAATCGAAACCCAAGAGAAGGGCTATCATCCTTGTTGCAGCCTGGTACCTGCCCTTGACTCAGGACAACGGGCTCTCCGAAATGGAGAGCTCCTAGCAGCAAAGAAAGGACTTTTCCAGGAGCCTCCACGTGCTGCTTACTGGTGCAACCAGCCCCCAAATGCCATCATCTCTTCGTGAGCTTTGCTCACAGTGGTGCTGGCTCTATCTGTCAATTCCTTCCCTGTAATAGTCATTATCTGACTCAACCCACAGAGTGACATGGAGAGACAGCATAATTGGTGACGAGCTGGGAACCAAAATAGTTTCTTAATTGCTGAATGGAAAGACCTTATACAATTAGAAGTAAAACCCATTGGTAAAGTGAAACTTGTGCTTCAGCGGGGCTGGAAGTCTGAGGGAGCACCGGGCCGAAGGGCCGGGGACCAGGGGCCTCTCTCGCCTCCGCCCGTTCCTGCCCACCCCAGGCCTTACCTCGGCCAGCAGTACTATCCTCTTGCCATCTGGCCATATTACGTGGTCCACTTGGGATCTCACTCGCTCCCAGGTCAGTTCTGGTGTCCGCAGACTTGCCTGAAACACACCAGCGAGCACATTGTCAGGGACAGAGGCCCCTTTGGGGTCGGCAAGCTGGCCCCGTTTCACAGAGCAACTTGAGAGGAGCAACCGGCATGCCGGTGGGAAAGACCTGTCTGCGGTAGGTTAGGATCAGTCTGTTTCAGGGAATTTAATCTCCGGCCCAGGCTTGGGGGTGGTGATGGTGGTGGTGTCACTCCACAGCATAGACTGTGCGCCCACTCTCTGCTGAGCATAGTACAAGGTGCTATGGGAAATACAAAAGAAACCAAAGGCATGGTTTCTGCCTCAAAGAGCTCACACTTTAGCGGGGGCCTCAAAACAGTATCCCTGTGGGGCCGGGAGGTTT